ACGTTGAGGGCTGGGCCAAGAGCTTTCAAGCCGCCTTCTGAGACCGACCGCAAAGTATGGATTAAATATGGTAAACTAAACCAAGACTGGAGCCCGTGCAGCTAGCCGCATCTCCCTGCCGATGCCAACCAAGCAGGACTCACTTGCAAGGAAAGGACTGACAGGTTTGGAAAGGTGAGGCACGGGGTAGACCCACACTGTGCAAACTCATTGACTACAGGAGGCACACGCCTCACACATCGGTTTTATGCATTTTGTCGTTTTGTTTGTGTATTTGTTTGGGAGTGTCAATTCGCGTGTTGGAACAAATGCAGGCATTCGTGTTGAAGAGGGACAACATTGATTTTGAATGTACATTGCCTAGTGGCGGCAAGCTTTGGGGAAGGCTGGAGTTGCTTGTCATTGTCAAAAAAGTATCTAGTTGTGAGTCACTAAGGGAACAATTTTGTGTTAAGTCGGTCCGAGCACTGAGAGCCCTAAGAGCTCCTGTGGCACTCCTTGAAGCACATTGAAACTAGTGCTGAAACTGCCGCCAGGGGCTGTTTCTTCCTATCCTCAAAAAGAATCGTTTTTGTGGCTGGAGCTCTGCACTCAGATCTATGAGAAAGTAGTGCGAGCCAGCAATTAGGACATTTGCCATTACTTTGATCCCTGTTTGTTTTGTTTACAGCTTGTGTACATGTGCTTCGAGGACAAGTCGTGCCGGCAAGACTTCAGATCTTTTGCAATTCCTCTCCAGATGCTCAGGCCTTTTCTTGTGTTGCTTTGGCATGACCGGATCGGTGTCAAACACATCTGTATAAATATATGCTGGCTTGGCGGAGGAAGCCAAAGTTTGAGCAACCAATCTTTGGTCGGAGACTTTCAAGAGTCACGGCAAATACCATGATGTACAGGGTTAAGAGGTACTAGAGTAGGCCATAGAAACGTGTGTTCTGGGGTGCTTAGGCCCGAATTATTTAGCTGGCTCAACAAAGCCACCACCAGGCACCGAGAATGCCTGGACCTTGGGTTGAATTCAATAAAGTGTATTCAGTGTATTCGGCTGTGCTGAGGATGCCGCAGCAGCTCCACTGAGGGGTGGTGACACCGTTCTTAGCTGAGCCGACTGCACCTTCATTGCCAGCTTTCTTTCCCAGCTCCAGAAGCAAACCAGACTGCAGCGCTCCTTCAAGCGGCCTCTAGGTTTTCTATTTGACCTTCAGAAGTGGCGGTTGCAGAGCAGAGCTCAGTGTGAAAGTATGAACAGACACATGTTTGCCTGTTGAAGGGCGTCTTTTTTTCTTTTGAGTATAGTGGTACTCTATAAGTACCAACAAGAAACATGTACAAGAAACATGTCTGAGAACTCGTTGCAGATACGTTCCTGCAGCTGCTGTACCCCCTGCTTGCGGAAGTTCAGGCCAGATGTCGTGATGGAATTAGTCCTTTTCCCCAGATAGCGAGAGCTATTGGGGTTCTTACTTCAAGTGTAGAAAGAGGTGCCTGTGTGCACTTTGGAGCCTGGGTGCTGGTGCCGCCCCAGGGTGCTGCCGCCAGATGTGTGGCCGCATGCACTTCGGAACTTGGGTGCTGGTGGTGCCGCGGGGTGTCGCTGTCCATGCCGTGTTCACTTTTGGAGAGATGTGCATGGCCATGTGCGCTGTGGAGCCTGGGTTGGCGCCACTGCGGGTGCCACTGCTATGGTGCTGCCCACAAATGTTTTTTGCTATCTGTCTGGGGTCTCTATGCTGGCATGATTTGCAAGAACAGAAGACGATTCAGAAACCAGCTCCGATTCGGAAACTACGATTCAGAAACTTGCGATTCTGAAACTACAGAGTGTCCCAATTCAGAAACTCACCCGATTCAGAAACTGGCCGATTCAGAATCTACAGGGTGTCCCGATTCAGAAACTCACTCGATTCAGAAACTGGCCGATTCAGAAACTATCCGATTCAGAAACTGGGGGGCGGGGTGGGGATCTAATCAAATGTTTGTCTTGACGTAGCGTGGACATCTTCGTATTTCACAGACCCGATTCAGAAACTATCCGATTCAGACCCGTTCTAGTTTCTGAATTCTAGTTTCCGAATCCGGCTCTAGGATTAGCAAACTGTATGGATGTGAACAGCTCGGAACTGATAGGCGCAGCGGGAACAAGGTCCCATTGCCGCATCCTGACGCTGTAAGCTGTGAGCTTCTGGCTGCGATGCTACAGCACTACATTTTACCAAGTCGCTTCTTTTGCCAAGACTATTCGTCGAACAACTTTTGGAATGTCTCTGTTAATTCTTTGATTTCATCTATTGGCACACGCCCAAAGCTTCATGTAGCATCTCGGTTTCACTTTGAGATGCTACGCGGGCTTAGGCTCAAGCAGCACAGGAGGGTCGGCTCAACCAGGCAGGAGGGTTGGCCCCAAACTTCATGAGCGTGTCTCATTAGACCTCACTTTATAAAGGTGCCACCTGGTGTTTGGAGCGGAGCAAAGCATAGTTTGATCATGTTTGTTCAGGTTGCGTACGTTGACCCAAGCGATCCATCGGTTCTATACTTGTCACAGCCGACAGCAGTGGCTGGATCCGAGGATTTGAGCGTATTCAAACAGTCTTGACTCAAGTCCAAACTGTTTGGTGTCCACAATAGCAGGGGCGTTCCCAAACTCACCTCAAGGAGCGAACGAGCTTTGAAATGGAGCCGTCTGCGCCTCCACCTGAAGGCGCAGGCCAGACCGTCTTGACTCAGCTTGATTGGCACCGCTGCAAGTCCTGTGCCTGTGCAGTTGGACAGTCCGCACGCCCTTCCAACAACAACTGCCTGATAAGCTGAGTGTGATTGGGTGTGCATCGTACAGTGTGCAAAGAGACAGCAGGCAAGTCTTTCACAAGTTACCCATATATCATTCCACAATAAACAAAGCATGTTCTTGCTAGGTATTTGCAGTGAATGGAATATGGACTTCCTTCTGTACAGTTTGTTCATAACCAGGCAGAAAAGGATTGCTGGCCTTTTTGGTCTTCGTCGTCCAGATGATGTCCTGCACATGTTATGCTGAGAATGATCAAAAAGATAACTTATGAATACTGATGAACGGCCTGGGTAGGATTTTGTGAGTGCCATTTGGCAGCTGCTGTTACAGCCTGTTGGAATTTACTGTTCTTTTTCGTATCGGTGTCCGCTTGCTACCCTGCTTCTTCGTCACTTCTGTTGCTTTGCTGTTCCAGTGTTGCCAACCTGTTTGATGCCCTTTCCAAAGCTTTTTGAAGCCACATTGCCTTTGTCATCGCAAGTTCCCAACCACATTGAATGCCTCAGGTCGAAAGACCTGACAACAATTCCAATGCTTTTGCAAACATACCTGTCCGCTACCTTTTGTGTTGGTGTTGGATTCTACCTACCAGGCAGGTGACAGTGTACAAGCCCTATTCAAGTCACAAGATTGTGAAATAATGCCAACTGGCTTCCGACACCTTGCAGATGTCCCAGTGAGCAGAAAGGATACGATTGGGGATTTTACTTTTAGACCTTTCTGGAGGCCTTGGTGAGACAGGGCCCTGTGAGACGTTGAACATGCAACTACTGTACATTAGACTACATTATCACACCAGCCTGTCCCAGGCCGTCCAGCTGGAGTCCGCTTCGTGTTCGTGTCGTCCAGGGAATGCAGGGGGCTGCATGGGTGCTGTCAAGGCTGTACAGGCAAAAGACAATGTCATAACTTTCTTTATATAGGTATTGCTACCCTGCCTTGGGGGGAAGCCTCTGCGGAAAGTCGCACCTTTTTCCCAAACATAAGCGAACTCTGTTGGTTGGAAAAGGACCTACTCTTAGGTTGTATGCTGGGGCCCTCATCCAAAGGTGTCTTAACACGGTGCTGGCAACCCATAAAGGGGTTGATGTCAGGTCTGTGTAGTCTTACTTAGTCAGCACCACATGCAAAACACTAGCTGAGCGCAAGAAGCACCATAACACAGCCTTTGCATGGCAAAAAAGTGGGGAGAGGTTGGGCGCACAGGCCAATGTTTTCTGCCACTGTCTAGGAGTCTAGGCTTGGCATGGTTTTTTGGTCTGGGGTGAGCAGTTTTTGGACCTCGCCCAGAACTACCATCCTCCTTGCTGCTTGTGTGCTGCCTGGAGCGCTGATACCCAAACACCAACAAAAAACGTTGACCCAAAGAGTGCAAATCCCAATGGAACGCTAGTTCTACGAGAGTGTGGGTTTGATTGATTTACATCTGCTTTCTGCATGTCAATCCAAATGGAATGCTGTACAAAGAGATTCTGTCACCAACTTCAGTCAGATCAGGTGACTCGAAACAAGCAAATCCGCAAGTAGTGGCCCAATGCGATCAGGTCACATCAGGGTCACATCAGGTTCCTGCTTACAAGGCGTTTCCAGATTTTCTATACCGATTGCCAGAAAGTTTGGGTTTTGTATCAACTCATTCCAATTATATACAATGTGAGAGCAGCAGCAACACACAAGCAGCACGCAGGTAGCACACAAGCAGCTGGGACTAGGTCCCGGGGTGACTGGGGGATGACTTCCTGGAAACAGCGTTGCCATGGTGATTGCCTTGAACTAGTGGCAAAGGATGCCTGAGGGATGACTTGGTCAGATTCCTGTACAAAGAAGTGGACATGGACAATACATTTGGCACCGGCACTAAGCATTGTGCAATATACGTCTCGACAGACTGATGATAGGACAATACCATACCACCAATTAACATTCCATGAGCAAAGTTGTTTTGGAGATCTTCACCGAGCTTCATCGCCCCATTTTTGCAATCTTTCTCTCTTCTCTCTGTATGGGGTGTGTTTTTCCTGTCGTGATTCGTGTCAAGGTGCTGTTTGACAGATCATATCTCAGGCACAAAAGAAAAACACTAAACAGATGCGCATGATCACGTCACTAGACGACAGTATTGCAACAGGCAGATATCACAACAGCAATCTAGAGGATTTCGGTGCACCCAGGCTGTGCAAGAACAGAGAACATAAAGCCATTTGACATCGGTCACTTCTGCATGTGTCGTTCTGCAACTTATCGATCCAGTGTTATCCATCCGGGCAGCAAATGTCTGTCGAGCACCAAGTCAATTGGTGCACAGCTGTTAAGGCATATCTAAAGGTACAATTTCAAGGAATATTGCTGATTAAAACCTTGTAGTTTCTATGCCTTACTGCTCAGGTGGCGCACAGCAATGTAGGTGGCTTGTTGCGAAAACATGGCAGGCAACCTTAGCGAGCTCTATTTTTGTCCTGATACAGCTCCCTGTTCAACACCTTTTGGGTTTTGCATCGCTCCTTTCCCTTACAAGTTCGAGGTTGCACAGAGATCAAGAAGGCACATACTTTTTGCAGAACAGTAAAGGTCGGGTTCATCGAAGGTTCAACTCAGGTGTGGTGGAAGCGTTCTAGTCATAGTGGCGCATCCATCAGTCGCTCAAAGCCTGAAAAAACTGCAGGTGGGGGAGGGCTCATTCGGCAAGGCTTTGCTTGTCCGTTCTGAGGTTGGAGACCTGTGAAAGAGCTTGAAACGGACAAGGACAGATTTCATTTTTGTTCTTTCGCCAGGATGGACAGAAGCTGATCTGCAAGATGGTTGACGTGAGCAAGGCAACCCGAAGAGAAATGGAGGACCCTGTACAGATGCCTGGGTGACACTGCACATCATTGCGCGACCTGCACAGGAATGAGGTCAAGCTGGGAAACGACTAGCTGATTAGCTACCCCTTAGTCCAAACAACTTTTTGTTGACTCGTAACAAGAATGTGCTGAAACAGAATGTTTGGTTTCTAGAAGCCAGATGAAGCAAAATGTGTCGTGCCAGATGCAAAATCCACTTCTTGTTCTCAATGCTTGAATTTACCAAGCTTTGCAAGCCTGCTCCCTCTAGCCGCACGGTTCAAATTCTATTTTGATTCCTTGCACATTTCCCACTGTTCTTCCATCCATCCTTTCCTTTCAATCTCGTACAAGTTCTTCCAGGGTATGTGCGTATGTATGTATGTATGTCTGTCTGTCTGTTTGTTTGTCTATCTGTCTATCTATCTATATGTATGTAATGTAATGTAATGCGATGCGATGCGATGCGATGGAATGGAATGTAATGTATATAATTTGGTATGGTATTGTATTGTATGTATGTGTTTTTTTCCTAAAGTTGCTGGTTTGGCTCCTTGGCCTTGGTTCAGGTTCCTAGGCTTTTCGCCTCACTGGCTGCCGTTCAAAAGAAGTCCACGTTGCATGTGTCGTCATCCGCAAGGGACTCCTCTTCTCCTTCTTCTTGGACACTCTCTGTCCGCATGTTGGTGCCTGTTTCTAGGCGTGCTTTCTTCTGCTCTCTCTCCTGGTCCACTGTCTGTTGGCTGGGGTTCATGGCCAATGCAGTGGTAGCCAGTGATGTATCTGAGTTCAGTCTGTCGAATGGTGTGGAGAAGTGTAGCCTGCGAGGCGTGGGTCCTCTGTTGGGCCCTTGGTGGGGTGCGGCCTGGACTGTGGTAGCCAGACTCTGGGCCTTGCTTGGATGCTGGGAGGCCGCCCTGTCCGATTGTTCTATGGATAGGGACTGCTCTTGGGATTCATCCTGGCTGTTTGCCTTTTGTGTGGCTTGCTCAACCTGTTTGCGGAAGAGATCGGTCAGCGGTGGTGATCCACTGATGGCTGCTCCTTTGCAAGGTTTCTTCAAAGCTCCAGTGAGGATGATTCGTTGCTGTCCATCCAGGTGCAAACTCAGGCCACATTGGGTGCAGGAGACTTTCTCTCCCTTCTGCCAGAGTGCATGAGAGCTGTGTCCTGAATGTGGTTCAGTGTACGGTTGATCGAGGCACTTGCTGGCCAGGTAGGTCAAGAAAGCTGCTTCATTGACTCTCTTGTGAATGCTGGTTCCACATTTGACACAACGAAGGTAGCCAGTGGTGGCTTCAAATTGGTGCTGAGCGGGCTCGGGCTTGTTCTGAGCTTGTTCCTCCAAAAGGTTCTTTATGACCTGGGCTCTGGTGAGTTTCTTTGGGGGGGCTTGGTGAGGGCTGGCCTGTTCAGGGTGCTGTTCATCCAGGGTCAATAGTTGACATTCCTGTTTGAGTCTGAGTTCAATCTCCTGTACAGTAAGCCCTTGGTGTACCCTCAGCCCGCATGCTCCACATTGATAGCCACTTCTGTGTGGCGCCCACCGGTGTTGTGGTGATTGCCATGGTCTGGTGCATTGGCCCACAAGCTGTTTCTTGTATTGTTTTGTGTGCTTGCCAAGTTCTGGTGAATGTAGTGCTCCTTGTCGTTGTAGATCTTTGCCAGCCTCTCAGCTGCATGCCGGTAGATGAGCATGTGGTCTTCATCCAGCACTTGTTGCCACTCTGTGAGCTTCTTGTCATTGAGACTGCTTGCTCGTTCCCATGCAGTCAAAGCTGCATCACGTTGCCTTCTGCGAAGTTGTGGCCGTTGCCCGGTGCTTCTGGGGTCTTGGTGTTTCTACACACATACAAGACTGTGACTCGCTGGTAGTCTTGCTCAGTGACATGTTGTAGAATGTCCTGGTAAGGACCTCGCTGGCGGGGGTTGGTCCACGCAGCCCAAACTGTGGTGAGTTGCGCAATCACACGTACAGTGGTGTTTGTATGCTTGGCCAAAGCTACAAGTCCAGCTAGCAGTGCCCTGGTTTTTGTGCGTGGTGGTTCTGGAATGCCTGTTATGGCTGCCAGTCTTTGCAATTGGCCCATGGACAGATGGTGTATGCAAAGTCCAAACGCCCAAACCTGGCTACGCACGTCGTAGTTGGATGGTGTGGTATCCAAGGTGGAAGCCCAACCCTGGTATTGGTTTGGGGACAGGATCTGCAGGTCTTGCCATTTGCCGTGCCCTTGGTATGGGTGTGGGTATTGGTGATGTTCTTGTGGTTCCAGTGGTACCCACCCAGAGGTCCATAGCGGTTCTTCATCATGATTCAGGATCCTGTCTGCCCATTCCGGAGGCAGCAATTTGTGTTGTTGTCCTTGATGCCACTTGCGCAGCCAGATGATGTGCTTTGGCGTGGCTGGCGCTTGGCACAGAGGGCATAGCTTCGTGTTGCCTGCTTCTTTGTAATGGATTGCTGCTTGAACCCAAGTCTTGAGGTGCTTGATCATTTGTCTGTATGGGTGCCAGTCGATGCCTGTGAGCAGGTGTTGGTAGTGCGGCTTGTGTGCTAGTCTTGCTGTTCTCTGGTTTCTGGTGTTGTTGGAGGGTTCGTTCAACCTTCCACCATGGGTCTTGGAGGCTGAGCTCATTCTCCTGCAGGATCTGTGTGGCTGGTCTGGCCCATCGATGGAGTTGTTCTACCTGCCAATTCCATTCCAGGAGATACACAATGGTCGCCGCCAGTGGTCCACGGACAGTGTACCATGGATGCTGTTTTGTTTGGAGCTGTTCATGAAGTTGGCTCCAAGCTTGCTCCAGGTGTGTCATCTGGTCGGGTGGTCACTGTTGATAGAGTGTGTGAAAGCCCTTGATGTGCTGGATAAGGACCTGGTCTGCTGGGTCTTGGTACTTGTTGCTGTGCAGATCATAGGTGCTGTCCAGGAGGCCTCCCTTGTGATGGCCTAGATGTGTGGCCATTGCTTGCCTCAGTGCAGTTCTGTAGCGGGGTGAGCCTCAACTCCCCAGAGTGCAACCGGTTGGATTCCTTCTTTGCGCAAGCGGCGGCGGATCTTGAGCGCCGGGATCTTCAGGGATCTTAGCTGATTCTCCGTTGGGTGGCTTTTTGAAACCTCTGTCTTAACACAGGGATCCTGCGTCGTCTGGCTGCCTGATGATCAATGCCCAGATCTCTCATGACCGTGGAGACTGGTGGCTCTTGATCTGTGAGCATCGACCTGAGTGCATGGTCTGTGGCCTTATCAGTGGCAATGAAGGCAGTTATTTTTTTGGGATTGACCTTTAGGCCCATGGCCCATGGCTGTGAGGCGGCTGTGAAGATCTCGGTAAGCCTCGACCGCCTGCTGTGTCACTTGCATGGGTGTGCTGCCCTCCATGTCATAGCCCACATCATCCACCCAGCTGGACAGGTTGATCTGGGGACGTTGTTTTTTCCATGGAATAAGTGCTGGCGCCACCACTTTGGCTAGAAGTGGAGCTTGGGGACATCCAGCCGGTACTCCATGATCCACATGGAAGAAGGGGGTCATCTCTTGTTCGGCAAGTATTGCTTTGGGGCCCGTGTAGAGCTGCGTGGCCAGCTCCAAACGAAGTGGAGGGTAATCCAACTTGATCGCTTCTTCTTGCAACTTGCTGAGCTGGATTGTGTCATAGAAAGTCGACATGTCCATGAGTACCGTGACCCCACTCTTGCGTCTTGCTTTGTGGACCTCTTGTCTCAACAGCCGTTCCAATGCCACATGAAGTACACAAGCGCCTGGTCGCGCGCGGTCATGATCCATGTCTGCAGGGAGAGTTTTCTGCCATTCATCCAGTAACGGCTTCCTCAAACGACGCCGCACCCTCCAGAGCACCGAGGTCAAAGTGATTGGTCTTTCTATTTTGCTGTTCTTCGGTAACATCGCGACGAGGTGCATTCGCAGTTGTGTAGGCAGTTCAGCTTGCTCCTCCATGGTCTGGTACAACTTTAGCAAGGGTTGCAAAGCCAGCGGTGGTATGCTTCTCATGAGCTGAGTTGATACCGCATCAGGTCCACTGGCCTTGTCCGGTAGGGCTTTGAGTATGTGATGGAGCTTGCCTGCAGTGAGTGGTGGGAGCTGCTGAGCTTGTGTCCTGGCTTCCTCAAGTAGTGACGGCCTGGGCTGCGGGTTGTTGTCTTCTCTGATGCGCCAGAGCCTTCCCCAGTCTTGTAGTCTCTGGTCCATGCGCTGTTGCGTGGGAATGTGTCGGTACGGTCTCTCCCATGCTAGCTCACTCGTCTTGAGGCTTCGGAAGAGTCCTCGGAGGCCTTTCTTGTAGCCCTCTTGAAGCCATTGTTCCCCAAACAGTTTACTGTTGGGGGTTCTCATTCTTTAAAGAATGGTCGCCTTGGTGCTGGATGGTCTGGTCGGGTTCCCGGCCGGCTTGTCTCCCACTTCCTTTCATTTGTCTCCACTTCTTTTCATTTGTCTCCCACTTCTTTTCAGGGGTTGCTTGTAGTCGGGTCCGGCCGGCTTGTCTCCCACTTCCTTGCATTTGTCTCCCATTTTCCCCCAAACAGTTTACTGTTAGGGGTTCTCAATTCTTCCTTAAGATGTGTCCGCCCTTTGTGTCACTGCTCGTGTCCGCCCATTTCCACTGGCCATGTAGCATTTCTATTCATTTGTCTCCCAGTCCCAGGTCTGTCACTGCGTCCGCCCTTTTCCGTTGGCCATGCAACATTTCTATTCATTTGTCTCCCAGTCCGCCCTTTTCCGCTGGCGATGCAGCCACCGGCCACCGCTGAGGGCATGGAGTATACCATCCAAAGCGAGGCTAGGACCGCGCCAAGGCATTCCGTCCACCTCAATCCGCCGATCGGACATCCGTTACTCAGGCATTGTGCTGCTATAATAACATTGACATATATGCCACCAACCTCTATAGTGCTCCCTTTTTGGAACAGCCAACTCACAGAGATTTATGACCAAGTCAGGCAGACATGCTTTTTTGAACCTGATGAGCCCGGTTGGTCTTAGAGTGTTCCTTGCTGGCATCTTTGCATCTCAAGCTAGTATACTCGGGCCGTGAGCGTGCAAGACAGACGAAGCAATGAACATATCGGGCACAGCAAATTTCTCAGACAAGACGCGCGCAGCTTCGATTTTGCCCACGTCATGCCAGCTGCTGATGAGCTCTCCGACAAGGATGCTGCATGCCTCATGTCCGAGGCGCTGGCTGTTGTGAAGGACAACTTTGCACCAGAGCATTTGCCAAAATGCATCCACGACTACTTGCTGCCCATTAGCGTGGCGAGTTGCCAGGGGCTCTTCTCCACCACCATGATGTTTGCCGCAGCAACGCCAGCCTTGACGAACGGCGCGTCCATACAGCTGTAGACTCTAGACACAAAAGCCTTCGCCGCTAAGCACGCTCATGTTCCACATTGCCCGCCCGCAGAAGGGTAAGAGTCGCTGGTTTCAGGCGGTCGAAATGTTGTACGAGCCTTGGCTTTCTGGATATACCTTTTCGCCCTTATGTGAGGTGTGTGGGTTGATTATAAAGCTGTGCGCAGCTTTAGCCGCAGCTATTCTTTTTCATGTCGGTTGTGCCAGTCCAGGAGATGGCCGACGCTTGCGTTCTTACCATGGCGGAAGAGCATATGGCCACATTGGTGGCGAACGCGGAGGGGGAGTTGCGAGTGCCTTTCGCAGTCCGCGAATTTTTCTTCAGGTGTTCTACCGATTCCCACAGATGGAGTTTGGCGCCAGAAAGGAAAAGGAGGGACGGCGCCTGTGGTATGGCCAAGCGTTCAATTTAGATGAAGCCTCTGAATGGCTTAAGAACCTCTCTCTCATTGGCTGTCCAGGTGAAAAGTCTAAAGCTACGAGCATCAACCCGCATACATCTACACTCAACACTCTGATTGCGAGGGGAAAGACAAAGCGTGCCGCCAGGACATCTACATCGTATGAAGGCAAGGCTTCCCAGCGCGTCAGCTTCTCCGTCTTGGGCAATGGACACCCAACCAGAATCATTGCTATGGAAAGGAACCTGGAAGGCCAGCATACGGCTGCAACCCGTGAACGCTTCATGATGTGCGTCAACTCGTCTGTGGCACGGCGTGATGCCTTGCCAGAGAGCATGTTGGTGGCTGACCCAGATTTGCCCGCATTTACATGGCTTCCCCTGACTACCTTGCAAGCTGCCATTTTCAAGCGGGAAGGCGTTGTCAACAACCCGGAATACTTCGCCAACTCCGTGGCTGAATCGCAGGATGCTGACCAAGAAGGCTACCCCATCGCCTTTCCCGATGGGGTCCCTTCACGGATTCGCTACAAGGTGCAAACCGATGACAGAGGTGCCTTGGCTTGGATCTTGACATGTTGTGGCGGAGAAGTCTTCATGGCGCTATATATATATATATTGGGCTGGCGAACAAAAAATGTCAAGACGGTCCCCCGCTGCTTTCCCCCATAAGGGTGCAACCTATATAACTTTCAAGCTTTTTGTTGTTGGCGCCCAGGACAAAACCTGGGAATGCAGACTGAGTTCCGTATTTCGGGCCGATGGCATATGAAGGATCCCACTGACCGCATCCAGTTGGGGGCAAAAAGGGTCACCGAGCATTTCCGGTCTCGGCCGCACTCGGTGCTTGCAATGGAAGAGGTTGCCCGTAAACTCTTGCTCGGCTGCTCCGATTGGTTTGGTTCCTCTTTGCGCTTGCGCAGTTTCTTTTTCCCTGCAAGACCACCACCAGATGAACCCATGCGCAGCGCGGAGTTTTTTGGGGGGTGAAGTTGCGCACTCAAGGTACCCAGGCGGGGCAAAATGTGCGAGCGTCCACAGTTGGAGGCGCTGCATGCCGGGGCTGCAGCGCATCATGGACAAATGTCTGCCGCCATTGCTGTGCTGGCGCTGGCCAGTGGCTCTGGCTCTTTCGATGCTGCTGGCAACCTTATGGTGACTGCTGAGCATGCGCAGGCGCAATTTGCTCAGTGTTTTCACTTCAGGTGGCCAGTCGGCTGGTCGAGCTCAACCTTCAGATTCGGCGCGCTTTCCGCGGCCCCTTGCCACCTTCTGGGGAGAGGCCAGCTGATAGCGACAGTGATCCAGAATGCATTGCCAAGCCAGTGCACGGTTTTGGTTCCTTTGCCGCGCCTGCTGCTACCCAGCCATGTCCAGCCCTTCACACAGACGAGGCGAGCGTGCCCGTCGCAGAGGCAGCGGTTGAAGAGCCCGACCATCAACCTGTACCTGTCCCTTTGGCGGAAACGGAGCCTGAAGATGAGCGTGCAGAAGATGTTTCGGAGGCGGCTTTGACGTTTGACCAACTCTTGCCAGAAGAACAGTTCTTCCAACGAGGCCTGGGTGAAGGAGACGCGATGATCTTTGATGATAGCAAGTTCAAAGACCAAGCCCTCCTCCGGAAAGTTTTGTTGAGCGGGCAGAGCGAGCTCAAGCTCAGTCGTGTTGTCGACCTGTACCACCATGGTTGACTCAACCGATGCCAAACGTCGGAAAGTCCGACCTAGGCTCGCCCAGGCCGGGGGGTATAGTGTCCATGTTGCGCGCGCGTTCAGCTTTTGCTGCCTTTCCTTGCCCTGTGGCAGGTGAAGGAAGTTTTGGGCGCTGCTTCTCGCCGCTTTCCTCGCCTCGGGTACCTCCACCTGCCGACTCAGAAGAAAGAAGAAGGCAGTGTCAAGTGTCAAGTTGAGAACATGGTCTGCAAGCCCTGCCAACCAGATCCTCTTCCATAACGAGTCCATGAAGGCCTGCCGGGTTCGTGAGCTGTCCAAACGCCGTGCGCTCTGGCACGATCGCCAGAAACGCGACAGGCCGCAGAGGAGCCTCCCAGATCGGCCCCGCCGCCGATCCCCAGTCGGCCTGCAGGTGCCTAGACGTCTGTTTGATCACCAAAGTGGTGATCGTGGGTCGTGAGGCCTCATGGCCGTGAAAACCCCATATGAGCGTGAAAAGGGAGGGCGGGTGGGTATGGCCGTGAAAACACTGAGATGGCTGTGGGCCTGTCTGCCCATCTAGTGCATAACTTGCTAGCTATGTTGCTTGAGCTGGCTTTGTGCGGAAAAGTGCATATTGCGTGGAAAAATGCATGTTGCGTAGAAACACTGGAGTTTTTTTGCTCAAACTATTTCATGCGTTTAACTATGGGGCCTTGTTTTGCTAACCCACACGCTGGAAAGGCCGCTGCTTTCCACACACGTCCTATATGTAGTATGTATGCAATATACCCATAGAATCCCAGAGGTATTAGTTGTGAAGTTGGAGGGACACAGAGGTTTGTTGCGAAGTTGGAGAGTGTCCCATAAGCCCTGCAAGAACACTTTAAAGCTGTTTTCCGTGTCCGTCGATCGTCCGTCGATCGTCCACCGATCGTCCGTCGATCGTCCGTCGATCGTCGATCGGCCATGCGCACACCTCGACTTGATCGGTGCAGCAGTACGTTTCTGTAGTTCATGTATAGAGCAGCTACATAGAAACATATACGTTATATGTCAAGTCATGGTGACTGCGCGAACCACGGTGAAACAATTTTTGGCCGATCACCTGGCCACATATATCCTGACAACCCGGGCCAACATGGGTCGCAAAGCAATACTTGCATACAGATTTTTTCAACTCATCCAATCTTCCGTTCAAACCCGTTGTCTTCGTTCGCGGCCATGTGCAAATTTGGAGCATTGGCCTGGACCCCACGCGCTGGGCTCCCAGTCCACATTCCACATGCAGAGAAGCAAGACTGTGGCCCAAGGCCAAAAAGGATTTTGTTACAGTTCTTGTTTTACCCAAAAATCTCGACAGGCAGGCTTTGAGGATTGTGGCTCGGGGATGGTTCTCAGCCCCGCTCACACTTCCAAGGTCTCCTGTGGCCGACGCGCGTCAGAGAACTGAGGAGGCCGGCCCTCATTTCTTTTGGGCGCAACACTATTTTTTGGTGTGAATGGCTAACCAACTTGGGCCCTGGGTTGGTTATCGAACATCTGCCAGGTGACATGAGTGGGCGCCTTTGCCTTTGGCATACGGAAGGTGCCCAACCCGCTGGTGCTGCGACCTGTGGGCGCACGACCAAAGACGTGAACTCGGGATGTTCACGATTGAATGCCATTGTGTTCACAGCCATTTTGGCTTTTGGGGGTGGGGCTTGCAGCGTATCCTGTAGTGGTGGGCGATAGCTATGGGCAGATTATTGAAGATCTACGCTGAGTGTCCCCAAAGATATTTAGCATTCGCAGTTGCTTTCGATGAAGATGCCTTCTTGAAGTCAGCTATTTGTTCGCAACAAATCCTGTGAAGTTGGATTGCATGTGTTTTCAGAGTTTTCACATTTGGTCCAAAACTCTTTGTGGGTCCACTGAGGCTGGTCTTGGTTTCCTCCATGACCATAGTGGCAAACTATATACGCGGCATAAGTGCTCCCTGAAGGACATTGTTGTGAACAAACAGGCTCACCTGATCCCACTAGAGTCAAGTTGCAACAAACAACACTTTGGCTTGGTGATTTTGTAATTATGACTTGGCAGGCCGTGATGGCCGTTTTTCGAGGTCTCAAGAAGTACCCAGCACCGCAAGGCATGAACATGTACCGTTTGTCGGCACACGAGCTGTGCAAGGCATTGTTAGCTTTTTTTGACGGTGGGGGGTACTGGCCAAGTGGTTTGCACTCGCAAATACCTGCTTGTCAAGAATGGGCTTTGAAAACAGCAAGAGGATTGGTGAAACTGGCCCACTGGTCTCTTTTAGAAACTTTTTGCTATATATAGGGCTGATAATTATTGGGGTGCATTCCCCTCCCCCAAGAAGGACTTCCCATATGATCGTTTTGCACATGTGAGGTTAGCCGAATGCGGCGGCTCATCACTCGTGCGCCCATTTCCAAGATGTCAAAACTAAATGAAATCAGGGATGAGATCACAGCCTTGAAGCTGCCCGCTGCAGCTTTGCAAGATGAAACTTAGCAAACATACTCAAACATATCTCGTACAATTGTACGTATGTGACCAGGTTTGTTGTTTCAACAAGCATGCATTTAAGCAACTCCCCCTCTTTCACATGTGCTCCTCAGGATGGGGATGATGGGAGTGACACCGGTACATCCACGACCAATTCCGATATCTCTGCCCTGAGCGCCTCCTCCAAATCCAGCCCGGCCATCGATCTTGAGAGCCTGAGCAGGAAGGACGACAGGCTTTGCAGACTGATCCAGCAAGCGCAGGATCAGCGGAGGTTGGCGAATCGTTCCCCCTCAACTTCAGCTTCAAGTTGTGAGTGCAAACCTTCCAAACCAGCTTTCACACCAACTCCTACTCTTGGTGCTTCGTCTCCAGGGATTGCTGACGTTGTAGCCAGGGTCAAGGGCCTACGTGTGGCTTCCCGTGATTCGGACACTTCCTCTGATGCGCAAACAAAAGGGGCGACGTCAAAACCCAAAGCTGGTCTTCCTACAAACCGTGCTTTGCTACCGGATTTTGTTTCTTTCCTATACATGTGAAGAGTTTTGTTTTTGGGATTAGGGAATGCGCTTTTGATGTTCTAGCCCGGCCAGGTTTCAACTTCTCATGCTCAGGTTTTGGCCTCCATTGAGGACAAGATGAACAAGGCAAAACAGCAACAGCCGGTTGCTTTTGCGGTTTCATCGCAATACAAAAGAAACATGGATGGGATGGCGATTGACCCACAGGATGACCCAGATGTTGAGGGAACACCTGCCGCTATGGTGAGTGGGGCAGGTGGGGATGGAGCGAAAAAGAAAAAACAGAAATGCAAGAATGCCAAGAGGAAGAAACAGAAGGCTGTACTTCCAAAGGCTCATCAGAATACGCAGGATGTTGCGGGGGCAAGTAAGAACTTGGTCGAGCATATCACCTACAAGCCAGGGGAATTTGCATCAATCCAGTCTGCGTACATTGAGGAATACATGGCTGGGGAGAAAGCCGCAGGCCGGAAGGTCTCCCGAGCGGCTGCGCTGAGCTCTTGGCGTGAATCGGCGAAACGCGCCATGATTCTTTCTAGCCTGAGCGTTTCGGAACTCAAGAAGCGGAGGTTTATTCCCAAGGGTTGTATGACCAACCCTTTCAAAGAGCGTATTGACCAAATGGTCAGTTGATATGTGTTGGGGTGCTTTGAAAATGAACAACAACACCTTCCACTGTCTGATCTCGAAACCATTATTGGGGTGGTCTGTGGTCTTTGGGTTGCAAAGCTACAGTCATCATTAAGACGTGTAGAGATTGTATCTGATCAGCTAGTGGAAGGTTTTGCCGTTTGCGCTCGTGGACTAACTAGACTAGCAGTGATGGACACACGTCAGCTAAACAGGGTTTGCTGTGCACACTGTAGCTTTCTTGGGGTTCCAGATATAGTGTGCGTTGCACTACCTGTGGCCAAAGCTATGGTGGTGTCTGAATTGCTGACTTGGTCTGTACCTCCCAAACTCGTGGTGGTGGTGCTACTCCTTCTTTGGAACAGCAAAGTGGTGACAACTCAGGACCTTCCATGTTGACTTCAGCACTTGCCCAAACTAGTATAGGTTTTGTGAATTGGCAACGCAATAATACCATATAATACCTACATAAATACATATAATATCATATATATAATTCAAAGAATATACAAAGAGATAGGGAGAGAGATGGAGAGAGGTATATGGTTAGAGGGGACTTCCAGGACTTAGACTTCACGGAGATTTTCAGCGGCGCTGGAGCTGTTACCCGTGGCTGCTGGGCCGCCACTTGGTCCCGATCTGTGAAAAGAGATCTTGAACTTGGAATTGTGGTGGTGCAAAAAAAAGTTCACACATCGGGCCTGTGGGATGTGCCATATGAGGTGTTCCCAAAAAGGTGTTCTTTTCATATCTTTGAGAGTCCTTCAACTTCCTTCCCCCCTCCCGGCCACCAAAAGTGGTTCCAGAGGGCCCTTGACCAGCGGACGTCCAAGGAGGGCCTGTCGGGCACAGCGTTGGACACTGAATACGACCTGCGCTCCATGGACCTATGCTCAAATGCCGGCTTTGCGCCGCTGGGATTCATAACATGGTTCTAGGTGGGAATAACATGAAAGACTATGAAGGAATGTCTGATGACCACATGCCTTGAGGCTAGCGGTGGCTCAGATTCTTCGGTGCAAACCTGGGGGCTTCGTTCTCTTAGCACTTGTGTGCCGTTCATTCTCTGTGATGTGCTGGGCCTAGTGTGTTCGGTGCTGTTGAACACATGCTACTGTGCGCTGTCTCAAGATGTTGTCCACAGAAGTGTGCACATAAGGAGTCGGTATACATCAGGGCGGACCTATTTGACACCGCATGGAAGTGGTCGCCCTTTCGTTGTTGAGGGGAATCTATTGAGTGCACGGGTGGCCCTACTCATCCACTTGTGCACTGCTCGAGGCCTACGTTGGCTACTTGAGCAGCCATTAGGGACCATCGTGAACGCCATGCCTGGGGTTCAACGTCTCTGGGAATATGTCCAGGCTTGGATGTGGATTTTTTGGCCTGATTCCACCAGCCTTTTAAGCAGGGTGTTTTTTTGTCCATGGGCCCCAGGCCTACAAAACTACTTTCTGGATGGGCAACTTCGGCCATAGTAGTTGTAAGAGCCACATGGTATGGAGCAACGACGAGGGCATGCTGAACCAGCTTGTTGAGGCTGCTGGGTACATGTCAGCAGCGGACAAGGCCCAGAAAACAACAAAACTGGTCAGGACCTATATAGATTGCAATGGAAAACGTCGTTGTACAGGGTTGAAGAAGGAGCTGAAAGAAAGTCAGAATCTTTCATGAATTTGGAATTGTTTCAATTGAGCTTTTTTTGTATTTTATATGGTGCTACCTAGATTTCTCTTGTGAACCACAGCTCCTCTCAGGAGATATCCAGACGACTTTGGAACATGGTTGGCTACTCTGGTGAAACATCGAAGTTCAGTTCCCTGGTAAGGTTTTCACAGAATGGATACCCATCTTTGCAAACCCTTTGGAGCCCGCACCTCAACAAGCTTCAGCCATCTCAGGCGCAGCTTCCACCTCCCAAGAAGACCATCGAGCTGGACGGTGACTTCTCGGATGCGGAGCACTTCTTGGATAAGTGCACCAAGGTATTGACGGCTGCCGATGGATTCCCACTTCTGGGAATTTCTGGGGACCCTTGTGTGGAAGACTTTTGGCAGAGATTCTAGCATCTGTGGAATTCACAGTGATGTAGCATGTATATCACAGAAAGCTTGGCTCTAGAAGGAAACAGTAAGTCACAGGGTTTTACTGATGTGGCTGCCATTGAGCTCTAGGCAAACCTTCAAGTATATATATATAATACAAATCAATCGCAATATCTTTATATATATCATTGGCGTGTAGTGCCCAGCGGCCGGGAAAGGAACCTTATGCACGCCCTTGTTTTGGTTGTTTTGCGTGGTCAGAACCCTTTTCATTCTGGCGCCTAGGCTCAGATTGATGATGTGATCCAATATTTGATGCGGAGTTCAACGGTTGACTATCCGGGGAATTGGGTTTGGGCCCTAGATTCACACACCAATCGACTCATGCACGGTGATGAAAACAGGCTGTGAAACAGGACTTCAATGAACCCTTCGATCCCCCTTTTCTTTGGTCAGTTCAACTAGGCTATTCGGCGATCGTGCACTAGGTTCTTTCTGCTAGTCTGGTTTTTTGGCAAAACATGTGCTGTAAAGGTTTGAGATGTATAAAATAGACCTACGGGAGGTATGTTATGAGGGCACCATCAAGGATCCTAATGTGTATGATTTCTTTGTCTTATTGACCCCTGAATGTTGCAAGTATTTGAAACATATCCTCCATGCCGGAACTGAGTTCGAGATCTTTCGAGCCATTTATCCCTTTACGAGGCCGGTTTGGTTGTTCTCTCACTCACTACTGCTTTACAAGAGCTAATCATCAAAAGAAACGATATAAACCTTTGTAAATGGCCATGGCCTGTGTATTGCATTCGGTGAGGGCGCATGCCCAATTGAGAGCTATTTTGAATTTTGCTGGTCTCACACACCCTTCGCCCTGTATCCTCCTGCTGGCAGGATTGTCGAGCCTTCGAAATGATCATGGCAATAAATGCCAAAATTGGACCTTGGGCGCGGGGAAGCGTTCATGGTGAGGTGAAAAAAAATATGAGCTTCGAAGGGTGTTTAAAGCTGTGGCCGTGAAAAACCGTGATATCGACGTTAAAAAACATCTCATGATCGTGAAAACCCCGTGAAAACCGTGAAATTTTTTTTCACAACTTTTGGGGTGGTAGTTGGAATGAACCGTCGTTCACGGATTTTCACGGTAGTTGTCAATTTTGAGAAGGAAAACATTGCAGTCTTGTGAAAATCTGTGAAAGTTCATGAATTTTCACACGCTCATGGTTTCACGTACACTAGCTGTTCTGTTCGAGCTCGGCTTTCACACCGGCCGGGAACGCGATGGCCCCCAAACTAGCTGGGGATACTATCAATGGGCGCCTAGATATTTTGAAAGCCAAGATGGGCTCGGTTCCTGTCCCTTCGGATGCTGGTACCCACGAGTACGCCCCCAGCGTGTTTGCTGAACCAAAAGTAAAGGCCAAGGCTAAAGCCAAAGCCAAATCTCAGGCGGCCAAGGCTAAGGCCAAGGTTACCCATGAGCCGACTTCCAAGCAGCTGTCAGATGGTATCCCTGTTTACGGTTGGCATGAAAAGGCCCAGCTTATGCTGGACTTTCAGCTCTCGGAAGAGGAGGCTACTGCTGTGCTGGAAGAGTTGCATGGCTGTCCCGAGCCCAAGCCCAAGTCCAGGGCGTGTAAGACTCCCGGTTCAGAAGCTGAAGTTCAGGAACCCCCCAAGCCTGTCCCGAAAGCCCCTCCAAAGCGTATGCGGCAGAAATCCCCGGAGGCGTGCAGTGCACAACAGTGATTGGACTGAATGTGTTTCTATACTTCAACTAATCGCTGGTCGAGTTTGTGTTATATATGTTTGACTGTTTCTCCGAGGTTTGACTTGACCCTGGCCCCCCTGAGGCACCCGTGGTGGAGGTGCGTGAGACCCAATCACCAGAGGGGAATGCTGGTGGTGGATTGCAAAGGGGTGATACTCAGTCGTCCCTCGTTGAAAAATATACCTTATACATCTCACAGTGTGTGATTTGAATGAACTCTGATGGACATGGAAAACCCCCTGCCGAGACTTCACATGTACGGCATGATTCCTAAGGTCTGTGACTACTCTCATTCTTGGGCAACAGTTGGTGGAGGAGCAAAACCGATCCAAGCGGCTGAAGCCAGATCCTCAACCTCAAGAGCCAGCTCCACAGCCGCGGCCGCCTGCACCCGAAGATGAGTTCATGCACGAAAGCCAAATCACCGAGCCCCTTGTTTTACATTTAGTGATGAATTCCAACGTTGCCTGGAGCTGCTCAAACTGTGTTGAACTGTGTTGAGGTTTTTCCAAAGAATATACATATATATATTTTTACATATATATATATATCAGGAAGTTTCACTATCTTCAGGGCACCAAATTTAAAATTGTTGGTCTTAGTTGAGGTTGGGACCCAGTGCATCCCAAGTGGGCCTATCGGAAGAGCAGATTCGGAGATTGAAGCGCTATGAAGCGGCTGCTGCGAGGGAGAAGGAGGCTAGATTGGAGAAAGAAGAGATGATGAAGGAACAGCAGGTGGAAGATGAGAGACTGAAGCGCTTGGCTGACGCCCATGACGCTGCCCCTATGCTCAAAAAGCACATCGCCTCTCCTCCACTACTTGCTTTGGAAGCGCCTGCGCCTGAAAAGGCAGTGGAAGACACTGACCTTGATGGTGAAGGAATGGAAGAGTGTGGTGAGGAAGAAATTGGCGGTGATGATGATGTGATTGTCGAGCCAGCACCACTTCGCAAGCCGGCGCTCAGGGTCAAGCTGACTGCACCCGTGCCAGAAATTGCTGCTGTAGAGACTCCACCAGAAGCTCCAGTACCAGGTGAAGCTGCTCCAGGATCAAACGAAGCTTCTCCAGCATCAGGCCATGCGCCGTCTTCTGGGGGTAGTCTGGGGAAGGAGGAGAAGATTAACAGCAGCACTCACAAGCGAGCCTGGATGCATTTGGGTCGCATGGTTGAGACCAACTATAAGACCCTGCCTGCAATGGCCAAGCTTGGTATGGGACCAACAAGGACCCTTGGGTTGAGCACTGTGTTTCAACAAATTTTTGAACTTCTAGCTCTTGTGCTTTTTAAAGTGGGGTTTCATTTGTTGTGGGAGCTTTGTCATCTACACCACTTAAGGAGCGCAATCAATTGCTGCGAGAGTTCGTCAAGAACGGGGAAAATCTTCAAGCAACTGAAGCCGCTGTGGTGCTGACCCGAGAGGAAAGTGACGAGGTGCGGCAGGGCATGATCCAGATGACTCTCCAGGATATGATCGATGCCAAATTCAGCATGTGCTTTAGTTTGAAAATGCAATTGTTTTGGAACAACCTTTTGTAGTGTTTCTGCTGTGCACATACTTCAAAGTGAAGCTCATGGAAGCATTGCTCAGGCAGAAAATTGAGGGCATCATCCGCCGTGGCCATGGGCAATGTGACCCAGACGCGCCCCATGATCCAGAGTCTGTCCTTTTCTGGTGCCACAAGAAGGGCGAGGTGACCAATTTGGCCAAGGTATCAAAGAGCCAACAACTTCATACACGTGGTGCAGCGTCAGAGGCCTTTGTGGATGAGATGGCGGGCCACAGCGTGATTCCTGCAGCTGCGCTGGCGGTCCACTCCGGTGGCAAGCCTGCTGGTCAGGGAGGCCACAGTGCTGACCAGCTGCTCCAGGGATATCGTGCTCTTGCAGCAGCAGGACTTTGTTTTGCTTGCGCTGAACCTATCAAAGTTCGGGAGGTAAAAGTAGCGTTGGGTGGGTGCATTTATGTTTTTTTGTTTTGATGATGTCTCCCCAGGATCTGAGTCTGCTGCAGCCGCTGTTCCATCTCAAGGTGGATCCGTTCGCGCCAAGGCCAAGGCTGGTGCGAAGGGAAAGGCGAAGGCAAAAGCAAGGGTGCAGCCGCAAAACCAGCAGACTCCCATTGAGATGAAGGAATCAACCCGCACTTTGTCTTAAAATCACATTGCATTGAGTTGCAGTGGAAGTCTTTTTGGGTTGCAAATGGTATGTACAAATTCATTAGAAAGGGCCAGAATTAGTCTTGTCGAGTTGAATCACCAGGCAACCAGCTGAAGAAGGAGATGAATGCACACAACATGGTGATATATGACCTGCCATGTGATCACGACCTTCGAACGAATTTGGAGAGAACAACGGAGAAGTACCGGCAGATTTTGGAAGAGATCCTTAGCCTGTTTAAGTGAAGAAATACAAACTGGTTGAGCATGTTCATAGGACCATGGAACAATCGATGGCCTAAGGTTGCTCAACACAGAGGACCCACAGGAGATCAGTGACTTAAACGCGCGAGCATCTACACTGGTGCCCTGGTCAAACCTGTGTGTTCTGTGTGTTCATGTTGAGCTCATGAGGGTGAATTGTTATAGATGGTAGTTTTTGATCAGGTTGATGCAGCACGGCTCATCAAAGCTCAAGCACGTGCGGTTGCCACTGAGCTTCGAAAGGCGAAGGAGAGCTGAGGATAGCAGAACCTTTCAAGTCCCAGTGTTTGGTTGTTGCTTGGGGTGAGAGGTATTCAACCAATGTACCCCTTGAGACCATCAAACTTCCATATATGTGTTCTGTTTTTATACTGAGATGTGTTTCCATTTGATTCTATTTCACATGGTTGAAATTTAGTTTGAGCACACTCCAGGCAACGTTTGGGGACTCATGGTATTAGCTTCAAAGGGTATCCGCATGCAGTATGCGATGAACATGCTGCCTTGCCAAGGGGAAAAATTTCCAACACGCTTGCTGCTGGACAACAGGGAGAAAACGGGGTCTGCTCCAATGTCAATGGTCGTCCACGCAGGTGCCGGATCATCGTCGTCAACAAGTGCACTACATAGACGCTTAGATGATGCGCCCCTTGGCCAAAAGCCTTCATAATTTCCAGCAATAATATGCTCATGGATTTTTTCAGTGGAAAGAACATAAAACATTCACGCCAAATATTTGAACCCTTTTGCTTGCTACACACATGATCTGAGACTCCTTGGTGGCATTGGTTCTGGTGATATATCCCTGAAGTTTGCTCATGACACT